GGGGACAGGAGAGCCACGCGGGACAGGAGAGCCACACGGGGACAGGAGAGCCACACGGGGACAGGAGAGCCACGCGGGACAGGAGAGCCACACGGGGACAGGAGAGCCACGCGGGACAGGAGAGCCACACGGGGACAGGTGTAAGCCGGGGCAGCAGAACAAGATTCTGTCTCAAAAGGAAACAAAAAAGTAATCTACCCTGGCAGTCACTGAAACAACAACAGAAAAGATCAACTTGAATCTGGGCAGCGAAACTTCATTCATCATGTTTGGCGCATGCTACCCAGAAATCTCTCTGTGAATAACCCCGGGTCATTCAGTTTTGATTATGATAGGGATTAAACTCCGATGTTCTCCATTCTAAACCTTCTTCTCTGATAACGGGTGGAGGTAGTGGAAATTGGATTGCTAGGAGGGTGCTTTAGGAAATAAAAATCCCGAGCTATGCGTTGTGTGGGGTCAGAAAACACATTTTATCAAACTCAAAGTGGCTTTTTAATGTCCTGAGATTTTTTTTTGTTTTGTTTTCAGGAAGCCAATCCCAGGCAATATTTACAAATGCCAAATTGTGCTCAACTTGCTTAGTGCCTTCATTAAGAACATTCTGTTCAAATGGCTAAACACAAATCAATTAGACTTCTAACCAAAAAAAAAAAAAAAAAGAAGAGAAGCTTTGTGAGCAGGTATTTTAAGAAGCAGCTCTGCAAAGGGAGTTTGACGTTTGACAGTGCTTAGCGAGGTTCCCCACGGTGGAGAGCAAGAGCACCCCCACCCCTGCAGGAGAGCAGGAGCACCCCCACCCCTGCAGGAGAACAGGAGCACCCCCACCCCTGCAGAGCAGGAGCACCCCCACCCCTGCAGGAGAGCAGGAGCACCCCACCCCTGCAGGAGAGCAGGAGCACCCCACCCCTGCAGAACAGGAGCACCCCCACCCCTGCAGAACAGGAGCACCCCCACCCCTGCAGAACAGGAGCACCCCCACCCCTGCAGAACAGGAGCACCCCCACCCCTGGAGGGGAACAGGAGCACCCCCACCC